CGGCAGTAATCATGCGACGGCAGCCCGCGTCCTCAAGCTCCTTCGAGAGCCTCCTTTCGAACTCGCCTCCCCCATCGAATACCGCTCGTAGTAGTGGCCCAAACTTTGTATTCCATACCTACAGAAGTCTTGCTCATACAACCGAAGGGTGTCTTGAGGTGAGTGCACCTTATGACGTAAATCTAGGGGCGAGGTCGACCGCGTCTAGGAAGACCAGCTGGTTGCCGGCGTTGTCGGCAAGAGTAAGCACATCCACCCTGATTGGGTCGTTCAAATCCCTGTTGATCTTGATCCTCTTACGTAAGTGTGGTAGAGGTCGTTGATGGGCGGCGCACGCTTCGCAAGATAGGTCGAGTGCTATCTCTACCGCTCTCTGAGATCCACCCGTCACTCGGATCGCCCGGGCCAGCGCATCATTGACGCGGGGCTGCATGATGGCGGACTTGAGGGCCCTTTCCTCCGCTGCCGTTAGTGATGGCTCGGCTGGCGCCGCTAGAGCCGATGCTGTCCTTCTAGCGGCCCCCCTCCTCGCTGGCACGGTAGGGTTCGCTTCGCGCTGCGTCGACTTGTTCGGCTTGCGAAGCTGCTTGACCAGCGCCGTGACGAGCTGATCGGCGTAGTTATCGCTGTCTTTGGCGAGTCGGCGCGGGCCTCGACGTGCTTGTGCATGCCGTCGCAAAACTTGCGCAGCGAGTCGTCGATCCCGCAATGGTCGGCGATGATCATCCACGGCTTCTTGATCGGGCCTCCCTTCTTGGTCTTTAGATTGTAGGCACACCCGTCGAAGTCAGTGACGCGCGGGAACTGCCTCTTCAGCGCGTCTGCAGTGCAGTTCTTCGTCTGGCCCCAGCCGTCGCAGTAGCGAGGCCACTCGGACGAGACCGAGAGCTGGTTGCCGACTTCCTTGCGAAGGCGGCACATTGACTTTAGGAACAGGTCGATCATACTCGCGAGGTGGTTCCTGTCTGCTTGTAGCCGTGCAGCCTTGCTAGGGTCGATTTTGAGAATGAGGCGCTGCTATGCAGTCCATGGCGCGCGCGGAAAGGCGGCGTGTTCTCGAACGTTCTTTCCCCTTTGCAGGTCCTTCCTGATATTGCCCTCTAGCTTGTTCACTACAACCCTGCGGGAGAAATCGTAAACTGGAAGCCCACAGCGAACGGCAACTCCTCCACTCATCTTCCAGTTGGTGCTGAGCTGCCTGTCGGGTTTGCAGCACCACTCGGAGAGGGTGGTCGCATTGCAGTTCGAGACTGGGATCGGGCGTGTAGCTGGCTTGGCCAAGTCGGTCTTGAGAGCCTGGCTGACCGTGTGCCGTGCGCGGCAGGATGCAGCTATTGTTAGTCGCGATGGCCGATCGCTTGCCCGCGATGAGTAACCTCTCCGAGGCTTCGCATTATCATCTGCTCTCCTCCACGATGTTGACCTCCTTCGGTTTGCTGTCGTCGTCGATGTCAAGCGCGACCGGGCGGCCGAACGCGCACTCGGAGCAAAACCCGAGGTGCCAGCGCTCATCGCGGGGCCTGACGCCGCAGGCCACGCAGTCATTGATGGGGTCGACGATGCGCATGGTCGTCGGCTCCAGGGGTGCCGCAAATTAGGCGGCGTCGCTGCCGTAGAGCAGAGGGCCAGAGCAGATGCCGCGGCGGCCGCGAGCCGTGGCCCGGGGACGCGACGCGGCTAAGGTCGTCTTGGTACGTTCAACTCCTTCTTGGGAATGAGCTTCACGATGGACTCGACCAGGGAGTCCGCCATGGTCGTTGCATTGACCGTAGGTAGCGAGGCCGTCTCGTCGTTGTTGGCGGCCTCGGGTTCGGCGATCTTCGGGCCGAACGCGCGGCCCGCATCCTTGATGGCGAGCCGCTCCTCCGGATGAAGATAAATCGCGGGGTGCCCCGCGCTTCTGGTGATGAGCTTCTGGGAGTGGGTCCCGATGCGTGATCTGCTCCTTCCAGAGCGAGATGTCGATCTTGGACGGCTGGATGAAGTCCCGGCCGATCAGCAGGCCGAGCGCAGGGCCGTCCGCGACTCTGGGCGCGGCGCGGCCGGCGCGACCGCATGGCGCGAGCGGGGCGGTGGCGCGCGGCTTGCTTTGGAGCGCGCCGCCGTTCCCAAACCTGTGGGCTTCGTCCTCGGGCCCCGCCGGGATCTGGTCGGCGAGCCCCATCTTGACGAGCCTGTCCTTGCACTTCTTGCGCCGCCCGAGCCCGCCAACACAGCGGGCAGGTGGTGTCAATCACCCCGATCCCGTCGTCGTTGGACGTCTCGCCCGTCTTGGCGGCGCCCGCGCTGGGCAAGTCGGGCACCGCGCGCGCGGGCGCAAGCGTCTCAGGTGGGGGAGTGACCGGGCCTTCTGGATGCAGCATGGCCTCCTCGTCGCCGAACTCCACGTGGTTCCGGTCGGCGACCTGCTCGGTGATGTTTGTTGGCCTGGCGGCGCGAGCGGCATCCGACCTTGCCCCCCGCCCTTCTGCCTGTCCTTGGGGGCGTGCCTGCGGGCGCCTGGTGCTGGGCACTCCGCGTCGCCCGTCCAGTGCCCTTTCTCTCCGAAGTCCCAGCGCTGCGAGGTCTTCCCGCGTTGGTCCACGCGACCTTGGAGGTTCCCGCCAGCGGATCGGCGCTTCGGCGCGCCCTTCCCGCGGCCTTTGATAGCCTCCTGGGCCGACCGAGTGGTCGCCGCGGCCTCGGGGATCGCGGCGCGTTCCGCCGCGGCGGCTTCCACCTTGGCGGAGTCGCCGCCATCGAAAATCTCGCCGAGGTCAAAGTTGGACTGCCCCAGCTCGGCGCTGAAGGCGTCGAGCTCCTGGCGAGCGATGTCCTGGGCGTCGGGATTGGCGTCGCCGTCGTCCTCCGACTCGCCCCCGTCGCCCTCGGGCTCGTCGACGACATTCGCTGAACGTGCTCGGCTCGGCGATGGGCGCTGCCAACTGCTGTTGGAGCGCCGCGGCCACGGCCGCAACGGCATGCCGGCGGTTCGCTCGGACGAGTGGATGTCCAGGAACTTGGCGCGAGCAGTCCTCGGACGCGCTGGAACGAGTCGCGTTCGTCCGGCAGGTTGCCCAAGACGCGTGCGCGTCGTTATGCTGTGAGTCCCGCTTTACGTAGTAGGAAGCAACAGCGACGTCGTCCAGCATGGCAAGATCCACCTCGTTCTCGCGAAATTGTTGAAGTCCGGCCTGGAAACGCACAAGCCAATCTGTCATGCGTTTTCCCCTTCTGCGGTGATGCTGCGTCGATTCGAAGAATTTATCGAGCGTCTCTCCCTTCTGCGCAGGCTTTTGTTGTCTGAGGTCTGCCTCGAGATGCCTGAGCAGGTTCTCGATGCCCTTCTGGTTCCGATGCTGCTTCCTGTCGGCGGGCCCCTCGATGTCTTCTTCGGCCGGCGGGTGTAAATCTTCTTCAGACATGTTGAGCGCGGCCGAGCGTGCCGCGCCTGTGAGCGTGAGGGCCAACTTTGATTCAAGGCCTTGTGTCATCTTCAAGATTCTCGCTGAGCTTCCACGCCTTCGCTTCTTGTTAGTAATCTCGCCAATTCGCGCAATTCCTCTGACTGGCTGATTGTAATTTTGTTCCGTCGCTTTTGAATTGAAAACGGAATAAGATAGCCGCTACTATCCGCCATGCAATGACAGCTAACCAATTGGATATTGAGTTTGCCGAAAGAGGTGTCGGCGCTTGCCGGGTCGAAGAGCTGGTAGGTGGTGTCGCTGACGCCCGTGTGGCACTTGGCGTCGCTGACGCTGTTCGCGAAGATGAAGTATGGGATGGAATCGCTGTCGGCGCTTGCCGTGCAGGAGAGCTGGTAGGTGGTAGTGTCGCTGACACTCACGTTGCACTTGGCGTCGCTGACGCTATTCACGAGGGTGAGGTGGGGGGTGGAATCGCTGTCGGCGCTTGCCGGCGCGGAGAGCTGGTAGGTGGCGGTGTCGCTGACGCTCACGTTGGGCTCGGCGTCGCAGACGCCGCAAATGTAGAGCGCTGATCAGCAGAGCAACGGGGCGGCGCTGGCCGTCGATTCCATGGACGCGTCGCAGACGTCGTCGTGGAATACGTGCGGCCCGAAGGCCGGGGCAGCGAGCCTCGCCCCGCTGCGACTGTGACATGGATGGGCGCGCGGCGCCAAGATATCTTTTACTCTCTCGCGCGGTGGGGCGAGGCGTAGCTCTCAGGCCAAAGGCCCTGCATAATAAAATTGAACTTAGAAAGCAGCAGGGGGCAAGGGTGAGAGCAGCAAGGGCGAGGGCAGGGAAGAAGCGGGGATCTCGGCCTCTGCGGGGCCTTTCTCTGTCTGGCACGGTCCCTCGGCCCCTTTTGCAAACCCTCGGGGGCGAGCTAGAATCGCAAGCGCGTCCTCATCGCCATCGTCGTCGTCACTATCATCATCGCCATCGCCATCGGCATCGCCATCATCGCCATCACAATCATCATTCGTAGCCGCTTTGGCGCAAGCCACTCCGGCTCTAGCCGTTGCTGGATCCTCGGCCCTTTGCTGGCACTTGCCAGCCGTCGCTTCCCGCTCGCCCCTGCAATCTGCTGATGGTCCACGCTGCGCGTCTCGACTGGATCGCGCAGCAGTCTCGGCTCGGTCGACGAGCTTCGGTCCGCGTGCATGCGCGCGTCGGCAAGCTGAACGTGACTGCCTGCCTGTACTCATCCCGCTCCTAGGGCATGCAGTACAAGCTGGCCATTGACCTCATCGCACACCTTGCTCACATTCTTTTGCCGTTCACCATTGTGGCGCATTCGCGCCGCGCATACACGGCGCTAGACCTCAAGATGATGACCGTGATGCCACCGCTCCTCAATACCTTGGTGGTGAGAGCGGACGTTAGCAATGGCGGCCATGCTCCTGGCCCTCATGCTCGGTGTCGTCGTCGCGATTGTAGCTGAGCTCCGCTTCCTGAGGTTATTCGGGCTGGTGGCGGTGGCGATGCACTTACTGATGTACGTGATGTTACTGCTGCTCATGATGGCCTGTGAGTTAGGCCTGCTGGTGCTCCTGCTCAGTGGATGCCTCCGGAACGCGTATTGGATGCCCGTCCGCGATTGGGTGGCTTCGAGCTTCGCGAGGGTCGTGGGCTTCCTGAGGTGTAGTCACGAGCTTCCTGCTTGTAGGGTGCGCCATAAAAACTGAGCCTATTGATGGTCCTGATCTTTGTGGTGGTCATGCACTGCTGGAGCGTCCTGATGGTCGTGCGCTTCCTGCTGATCGTTCGTCGTTTCATGGTCGTGCGCTTGCTGGTTGCCGTGAGCTTTCTGATAGTCGCGAGCTTCCTGGTGGTCGTGAGCTTCGGGACGATGGTGGTGCGCTTCCTGGCGGCCGTGAGCTTACGGAGGCACTTCCAGGTTATCGTGACTCCCATGGCGGTCGTGAGTTTCCTGGCGGTTGCGAGCTCTTCGATGGTCGTGAGCCTCATGGCATGGTCGTCGTGAGATGATTGGTGATCGTGCGTTTCTTGACTGACGTGTGCTTCGTGCAAACGGCTGTGTGCTTCCACGTGGTTGTGAGTTGCTTGGTGAACTTCCTGATCATCGCGAATTTCGCGGGAATGGTTGTGCGCTTCCTGCTGGTCGTGGGCTGCCTGATGGACACGGGCTATCTCAGTATCTTCGAAAGCTATGCTTGTAGGTGCCCATCGGTCTCGCCAGTGGTCGGATATGCTAATATGGTCGAGTCCGTTGCGCGAGTTTGAGTTTGCACTTCCTCCTGGCCATCCGATGTTCCAGAGTTAATGAGACTGGTTGGGGGATAGCTGTGTTGAGTGACGACTCGAAACGCGTCTGCTCGATTTCTGGCCCCATCTGGGCCGACTTGTCCCAAGCGTCTTAGGCGGGTGAGTTCGAGGCCTACGGGGCCTCCAACGAGTTCTTCTCGGGCACGTCTTAGGGCGCAGCGATTGCAGCAACATCAACGTTACCTAACAGTTCGCGCAACCTCGTGCACAAAACATGTCGCACAAGAGGCCCTACGCCGCCATGTATTTGAAGCGCGATGCTGGCTGCACCGGTGCTTCCAAGCTTCAAGCGCACGGTTTTAAATTCTGCTGATCTGAGCGCTCATGGGCGATTCTTTAAAGCAGGGAGCGAAGTTGCTGCCCTCGCAGCCACGCGAGGCGCGACAGCCAACCCTCAGGCCACTCCAGCGGGGCAGAGCGACCTCTTGAGTCTGACGAAGACTGCTCGGCTGGTGTGCAAGCTTGCCTATAAGTTACTCCCTCTTTGGCCAAAGCACGACATCGCGGGAATCCCCAGGGCGCGTGCCCCCCTTGCGGCCAAGAAGGATCTGCATCCGAAGTCACTCGAGTGGCTCTGGTGCCTCACCGTCTGGATGTGCCAAGTTTGTTTCCCGTTAAGCGTCAGGAGAAGTGTCCGCGCGTGGCGGGCTGCTCTGGCCAGCCACCGTTCGCTGCCTCAGGCCTCCAAGAGCGTGGTCGTTCGTGCATCGGTCTGTTGTGTCCTACATCCGCCATGCTATACATGTACACCAGTTGTTTCCGGTGCGCTTGCGGTGGTAAATTCAAGAAGTTGCGTGCAGTGAGCAACCCCGAGGTCGAAGGTTCCTTGAGCAAGTTTGCCTCTGCTGCGTTGCGCTTCTTATCCGAAGGAGTGCACCCGAAGCTCGTTGCAGTCACTTTCGAGGTTTTTGAGTCAGATGAGTTCGAGATTGTTTTGGAGCTCCGCAGCGTTGCGGCATCCCTGCGGTGTGAGGGTGCCTCTTCTTCTGCCGCGCAAGTCACGAGCGCTGTTGTCGAGTCAGGCTCGGACTGATCATCTGGGTTTTCCCCGTTACGCGCGAGCACCTTGCCGAGCTTTAAGACATGATGGGCGCGCACTTCCTACTGATGCTGATCGCGAGCATCCTGATAGTCACGTGTTTCCTGCTGATCGGGAGATTTCTGCTGGCCATGTGTTCGCTGATTGTCGTGAACTTCCTGGTGGTCGTGAATTTTCTGATGGCCGCGGGCCTCCTGAAGATGGCTGTGCGCTTCCCGATCCTCGTGAGCTTCCTGCGGCGCCTTCTGATGATCGTGAGCCTCCGGATAGTCGTGTGATTCCCAGTGGTTTTGGGCTCCCAGATGGTCGTCAGCCTGATTGCGGTCGCGAGTTTCCTGGTGATCGTGAGCTCCCCGACAGTCGAAAGCGTTGTGAGGTTCCTGCTTTTCCCAGCCTTTCGGCGACTGGCGCCTCCGCATCGTCCGCCACGCTCGAAGAGGTGACCTCTATCGCCAGATTGCGACGTTGTGTTCGCAGCTTGCCAAACTTGGGTTGAACCTTGCCGCCATGCCTTCTGTTGGGGAGTCTCGTTGTGCTTCCAAGGCGAGCCGCCAGGAAAGACGCGACACCCAAGACAAAGCTATTCGGTTGTGCGACAACACGAAGTCGCAGCTGGATTCAGCCGTTTCCGGATTGGCTGCGATGAAGATGACGAGCGGGGAGAACCACCATCATCACCATCACCATCCTGTTCACCATCGCCATCACGGCCATCATCCGCACCATCGTTATCATCGCCGTCATCGTCATCCCCCCCACCGTCATCGTCATCATCACCATCATCCTTTTCATGCTCCCCCTCTTCCTCCTCTTCCCCTCCCCATCATCATCATCACCATTATCATCAACAGGATCACCATCATCGTCGTCATCAGCATCACCACCATCATCACCATCGCCATCATCCCTCACCATCGCCACCATCACCATCGCCAACATCACCACCATCATTACCATCACCATCGCCATCATCCCTGCGTAGGAATTTCGGCTAAGCTCAACACTGGTGGCTGCGTCCGCATGGCGTCACCGTACCAATCCCGGCACAACCCGCACACGATGTGTGGCCCCGTAAAGAGCTCCGCCGACGGCCCCAGTGGCTGCTCCATGGCGATTTGGCTCAAGCGGGCATTTTGGATTGAAGCTCCAGCGATCGCACGGCTGTCGCCGGCGTCGGGGTGTCTTCGGGGTCCTGGTCCGACGATGGTGGCGCCCAGTCGGGTCATCAACGCTGCAGACTCCACCATCCTCGTGGAGGCGACAGTCGGCAGCTCGTGTGGCGCAGGGCGCTGGAGCTCCTCAACGCTCCCTGGGCGCTGCCACACGTGCTGACGTAGCCGCGGTGGCATCGGCCGTTGCGTGCCCCGCGCCCGCCGCGGCGGCTATTCCTGGGCTTGGGGAACCAGGCGACGACGACGGCAAGAGGGCCACTACGAAGGCGAAACGCGAGCGGCGCCGCCGTCGGCGCGCCCGCCTCACTGGACTGCGACCCCTGGGGCGTGGGGGAGCGGCGGCAGAATCGGATGCGGCCGCGCTGGCGGCGGTCGAGCCCATTGCGCTCGACGTGCCCGCATCCGCTTCTTCGGACGAGTTCGGAGACCTAATCGACTCCTGGGCCGACGCCCCTCTGAGGCGCCGTCCGGGCGCAAGGCAGCAGAGGCGGCCGCTGGCTGCAGCAGCGCCCGGGGCGGGGGCGGCGGCGCAGGTGGGGGCGACGCCCGCGGGAGCGGCGCCTGCGACCAGCAGCGCGGAGGCCTCGAGGTACGAGGAGGCTTTCGACATGGCGGACGGTCTCCTGCGCCAGGTGTGGGGTTACGAGCCGCAGGTCGGCGACGAGCTCCAGCTGGAGTCCGTGGGTTGGTGTTCGGTGGCCAGTGCCACTGCGGTGAGTACGGTGCGCCTTCGGGATCGGTGCCCACGCCACCCCGACCCTTCGGGTGAGAGTTCCTTGGGGAGCGGGCGGCGGCGAGCCGTCGCCCGAGGCGGCGGCGACTGCGCTGTCCCCCGTCGGCGTCGCGTTCTCTTCCTGGCAGAGTTCCTGGCGACCTCAGTGGCCGTTTTGGGTCCTTCCGCGCAGTTGCCGTTGTGCTCATCGGGACGGCGGGGCTCGAGCGGGCGGCGCTTGCGGCAGGCCTTGCGCGTGCGGTGGCCAGCTTACCTTGCGACGTACCCTGCCCTTCCTAAGCATGTGGCGGCTATACACTTGGTATCGCTCGGACGTGTGCACTTTTTCTCGGCGAGGCTTATTAAGTAGCATCCTGGATCGTCCTGGATTATTAAGGAGCATCCTGGATCATCCTGCATCCTGGATTATCCGTAAGGGCTCGCCCCCTGCCGCCGGCCCCCTCTCTATCACAATGGGATACATGAGAGCTATATTCGGATGTTTGGGCGCCGTCTTGATGACATTCGGGAACGTCATGCTAGGGCGGCTGGCGATGAGCAGAACAGATTGACATGGTGAAGTTGTTGTTGAGCGCTCTGTTGCCTTCTTGGCATTTTCCTTTAGTTGTTCACTGGAAGCGCTCTGGGAACGGCTGGGGATTCCTTCAGGCAATCTCTGGGAAGGTTATTTTTTCTGCTCTGGAGAAGGAGTGGCGCCTTTGGGCAGCTTCCGCGAGGTGGATTCGTAACGTGGGGGGTGCGCGCAAATTTAGTGTAATTTGCGGGGGATCGTGGCCTCGGGGGCGCGAACGTGGCGTAATTTACGAGGGATCGTGGCCTGGGGGGCGCGACAGCGGCGTAATTTACGAGGGATCGTTGCCTCGGTGGCGCGAATGTGGTGTAATTCACGCGGGATCGTGGCCTCGGGGGCGCAAATGTGGCGTCTTACGAGGGATCGTGGCCTGGGGGGGTGAATGTGGAACCCACTGCCGAATGTTCCAGAAACGGGGGGGGCAAAAAAATAACAGCTGAGCACATATCCCAACACAGAAAATTGCCGTTTTCCGTTTTGGAAAGGGACAGCGCCTTTTCGGCAGCCTCCGCAAGGCGGATTCGTGGCCTCGCGGGCGCGCCCGCTGTGTAATTTACGAGGGATCGTGGCGTCAGGGGCGCGAACACGACATACATTACGTGGGATCGTGGCTTCGGGGGCGCGATTGTGGCGTAAATTATGAGGGATCGTGGCCTCGAGGGCGCGAATGTGGAGTAAGTGCACAAAGGATCGTGGCCTCGGAGACGCAAGTGTAGCGTAAATTACAAGGGGTCGTGGCCTCGGAGACGCGAATGTGGCGTAATGTGCGAGGGATCGTCGCCTCGGGGGCGCGAATACAGCGTAATTTGCTAGGGAGTCTGGCTTCGGGGGCACGAAACTCAAGTATTTTTACGTGTCCCACGCCCCCCTAGACATGTTGAGAACCCTCCCGAGGGGTGCTAACCAGAGTCCTTTTCGGCTCCCCCCCCTCGCGCGGACAGTAACAATTTACAGTAGGAAGCAGAAAGCGGTACTGTAACAATGGAAACTGGAAACTGGAAGTGGTACAAGGAGCAGCAACCTTAAGCCAATTTACAGTAGGAAGCAGAAAGCAGCACTGTAACAATGGAAACTGGAAACTGGAACTGGTACAGGGAGCAGCAACCTGAGGCCTCGCAGCCTGATGGCCCCGCAAGGGGGCTGGCGGATTAAGGAGCATTCTGGAGCACGAAACCCCAAAAAACACAGGGAATGGACGTCCGAGCGGACGCTCAATACGAGCGGACATGTTGAAGGACCCGCAGTGCACAGAAGCACCCATCCGGGCGCAGGGAGCCGCGAGGTGTCTGCTGTGTCTGCGTGGCCCTCCACTCCGCTGGACCTCCCAGGAGCCAACGAACGTGGCGACAGTGGCACGCTTCGCAGCCCCCGAGGGAGCCGCGGGGTCTCGACTGGGTCTGCGTACCTTCCCACACCACGCGGCCTCCCTGCAGCCCACGGAAGTGGCGACACTTGCGCAGTTCGCTCGCAGCTCCGGGGAGCTGCGAAGTCTCGGCTGCGTCATCGTGCCATTCCATTCCGCATGACCTCCCAGGAGATCACGGAAGCCGCGGCAGTTGCACACGTCGGAGCCCCCAGCGGGGCCGCGAGGTCGCAGCTGGGTTTGCGTGGCACTCCAATCCGTGGGACCTCCCAGGAGCCCACGAAAGAGGCGACAGTTGCCCACTTCGCAGACCCCCAGCAGAGCAGCGAGGTCTCGGCTGGATCTGTATACCATTCCGCCCCGCTGAACCTCCCGGGAACCCGCACAAGTGGCGACAGTCTCACGGTTTCACAGCCCCCCAGGGAGCCGCGAGGTCTCGGCTGGGTCTGCGTAACACTCTTCTCCACTGAACCTCCCATGAGCCCACGAAAGTGGCGACGGTTGCGCAGTTCACTCGCAGCCCTGAGGGAGCCGCAGGGTCCCGGCAGGATCTGCGTAGCACTCCCCTCCGCTGGACCTCCCAGGAGCCCACGAAAGTTGCGAAGGTTGCACACTTCGCAGCCCCCCCTGGGAGCAGCGAGGTCGCGGCTGGATTTGCGCACCATTCCCCTCCGCAGGATTACCCGGCAGTCAACGAAAGCGGCGACAGTTGCACCCTTCCCAGGCCCCCCGGGGAGCCGCGAGGTCGCGGCTGGATCTGCGTCCCATGACATTCCGCGTGACCTCCCAGGAGCCCACGAGAGTGGCGACAGTTGCCACTCAGGGAGCCGCGAGGTCTCGGCCGGGCCTGCGTGGCCCTCCACTCCGCGCGGCCCCCGATGAGCCCACAAGCGTGGCGACAGTTGCCCACTTTGCAGCCCCGCATGGCGGCAGGAGGAGGAGGAGGAGGAGGAGGAGGAAGGAGGAGGAAGGAGGACGGCTACCACAATGCTCGATTCAAAACGAGAACCCAACACAGGAGGGTTGGGAAGGTAGAAGGCACCAGTCGCTGCGGTCGCATGGCGTCGCCGCGCCCATTTCGGCACACCCCTCGCACGCTTCGTGGCCCCAGAAGAAGTCCCGCCGAAGGTTCGGTGGCCGCGTTCGCATGGCGTC